AGAGATCTACCTGCCTCTGCCTCCCATGTGCTGGGATGACAGTAAGCCCCTCCATTTTCCCAGCCCCCCAGCTTCTTTCGCTCAACATAATGTTTCAAGTCTCACCTGCGTTACATCAGCATGTCACTCCTTTATAGTGATAACAATCCAAAGTATGGATATACATTTCATTCATCAGTTGCTGAACACTTGAGCGGTGTTGCTATTAATGTTTGTATACAAGTTTTTGTGTGGACATAATTTTTGCATTATTTTAGGTACACATCTGAGAGCATCTTGCTCACATGTGGGTCATATAGTAGCTAAGTTCCTGTTGTTTTATCATATACCTACCTGTGCTTCTGCCTTACATTAATCCATCTCCCATGTTGGTGTACTGAAGAAAGTACCAGCATCAGTACACCTCCCCTCTAAACGCATCAGCATGCCTGTTAGTAACCAAAAGTTAGAATTTTTTTTGTAGTTTTTAACCTATTGTGTAAAATTTACAGTGAATCCTGAAATACACTGTTGAATTCCTACTGAAGCCTACCCCTGTGAGATCCAGAACAAAGGGTAGAGATAAGGGTATCAACCCTCCCACCAAGGGTCCGTCAAGCCTCTTCAGAACCTCTCCAATGATACCAGTCCTCTTATTTGTCCCCATTGAAAATTACTTTGTCTGATGGGCATGGAGGTGCATGCCCTTAATCCCAGCACTTGGGTGTAGCTGGGAGTTTCTGTCCCACCAGCCAACTCCCAAAAACCACACAGAGACTTATTATTATTAACTATAAATGCTCACCCAATAGCTTAGGCTTGTTACTAACCAGCTCTTACAACTTGATTAAACCCATATTTCTTTTTTTTTTTTTAAAAAGATTTATTTATTATGTATACAGCATTATTATGTATACAGCATTCTGTCTGCATATACACCTGCAGGCCAGAAGAGGGCACCAGATCTCATTACAGATGGTTGTGAGGCACCATGTGGGTGCTGGGAATTGAACTCAGGACCTCTGGAAGAGCAGTCAGTGCTCTTAACCTCTGAGCCATCTCTCCAGCCCATAAACCCATATTTCTTATCTATGCTCTACCATGTGGCAGCGGTACATTTTTTCCAGCACGGCAAATCATCTCCTGCTTCCTCTATGTCTCCTGGCAACTTGGCCCTCCTTTTTCCCAGTGTTTTCTTAGTCTGGCTCTCCCACCTAACCTCTTCCTGCCTAGCTATTGGCCAGTTGGCTCTTTATTAAACCAATGAGAATAATACATATTCACAGTGTACGAAAGGATTATTCCACATCACTTGTCAGGCAGATAGATCTCTGTGAATCTGAGGCCAACCTGGTCTATATAATGAGTTCTAGGACAGCCAGAGTTACAAAGCTAGACCCTGTCTCAAACAAGGAAAGACAGATGCTTTGTCTGTCCCGACACTTCACTTCGCTGTGGCGTCTCTCTCTGACTCTTTTCTCTGGTTCCTTTCACAGAGCACACTGTTTGGAAACTTCCCGCTGCCACCATCATGGTATGAAGGTACCTTAGGTTGGTCTTCATTTCCTGTAGAGGACCACGGATCGAATTTGGGACTGTGATCCGTAAGGCTGCTATGACTGACCTTCATGTGACCTGTGTGTGTGTTTCTCTTGGGTAAATACTGTTTGGACCTGAGCTACATGTGTATGTGTTTAGTTATACAAGAAACTAACTGCCAGACTTGTTCCCAAAATAGTTGCACCATTTTTCATTCTCATGCCCACAATAAGGTATCAGGCCTAAAAATGTTGTATATTTATTCATTCTATTTTATGTGAGGGTGTTTTGTCTTCACATATGTATGTGTGCCACATGCATGCTTGGAGCCCATGGAGGGCAGAAGAGAACATCAGATCTCTTGGGACTGAATCACAGATGTTGTGAACCACTATGTGGGTGCTGGGAATTAAATCCTGGTCCTCTGGAGGAGCAACAAGTGCTCTTAACCACTGAGCCATCTATTCAGCCCTGTGGGCTTACATATTTTGAGCTGAAAAAAAAAAAACCATAAATTATAAAGTGCTACTTTTTAAACTGTTTCACGTCCCCTGTCTCATCTTATTTATTTTTATTTCTATTTTTTGAGAGAGTATCTCATATAGCCCAGGCTGATCTCTAACTAACTCTATAGCAGAAACTGCCCTTGAACTCCTGACCCTTCTACCTGCCTACCAGGTGCTAGGACTATAAGCTTGTATACCATACCTGGTTCCCTATGTCACCTTAAAACTTTTAATAATCAGGTGTATAAATAATACAGCCAATAAAAACCTACCTTGACCATACTTTCATTTGAATAATGAGTCAAAATGAGGAGAAAACTTATCAAATAAACTAATTAAATAAAATTACTTCTCCATGATTAAAAACAATTTTCAACAAAGCAGGAATATGAGGGGATGTCCTCAGCTTATAAAAGACATCAATGCACAGAACCTGCAGCAAACATCACACCTAACATCAAAGACAATGAACTCCCTGACTGGTCTCATCACTCCTATCCAGTCTTGTTTCTAAGTAGAGTAACAAATAAATACATAAAGTAAATGGCATCTAGATTACAAAGGAAAAAAATGCTTGGAGTGTGCCAGATGCTTTCTACCACAACACTCAGGAGACCAAGACAGGAGGATTATCAGAAATTCTAGGCCAGTCTGGACTACAGAGTAAGATCTTGCCTGGTGGGGAGGTGGGGGTGGTGAGCAGACTATCTGCCAACGATTAATTTTAATTGTATAACACTGAAGAAGACCAGATTACCTAGATTTAGGAGTCTGATGACTTTCTCCAAACTGGTTCTATTACAAGCAGGGAACTGTGGCAAGAGCCTGTAATCTCAGTACTTGGGAGGCAGATGCAGGAGGATCAGGAGTTCAAGATCATGGTCAGTTACAGAGTGAATTCCAGACCAGCTGAGGCTGTAGGAAATCTTGTCTGAAAAAACAAAGGGGAGGGGGCGGTGGAGGAAACTGACTTGTCCTCTGCTCTGACATTCTTTCCTCTACACTTGACAAAAATGAACCTAACTCTCTTTAAAAAATATTTAAAGTTACATTTATTTATTTAGGGGGTCGGGGAATGAAGGACAATGGAGGTGGACTTTTCTGTCCTATATTATCCCGCTCCCAAATAACCACACAGAGACGCATTATTAATTATAAATCCTCAGCCAATAGCTTATGCTTGTTACTAACTAGCTCTTATAACTTAAATTAATCCATTTTTAATTAATTTATGTGCTACTATGTGGCTCATGGCTTGTTAGCTAATTTTCTACACATCCTGCTACCTCTGCATCTGGCTGGCAACTCTGCCCTCCTTCTTCCCAGTATTCTCTCAGTCTGGCTCTCCCATCTAACCTCTTCCTGCCTAGCTATTGGCCAGCTGACTCTTTATTAAACCAATGAGAGCAAAACATCTTCAGTGTACAAAAGGATTACTCCACAGCAGGACAACTTATGGGAATTAGTACTTTCCTTCCACCACTGGGTCCTGAGGCCTGAACTCAGGCAGTCAGTCTTTGTGGTAAGTGTCTCTTCCCCTCATCCATCTCACCAGCTACCAAGTCTTTTTTTAAAACGTTTTAAATGTGCATGGGTGTTTTGCCTGCATGTATGTGTACCTGCTGTGGGATGGTCTTTATGTCAAATGTGTTGCTGATTGGTCAATGAATAAATCACTGATTGGCAGTGGCCAGGTAGGAAGTATAGACGGGACAAGGAGGAGAATAGAGCTGGGAAGTGGAAGGCTGAGTCAGAGAGACACTGCCAGCCGCCATGATGACAAGTCGCATGTGAAGATGCCGGTAAGCCACGAGTCATGTGGCAAGGTATAGATTAATGGAAATGGATTAATTTAAGCTGTAAGAACAGTTAACAAGAAGCCTGCCACAGCCATACAGTTTGTAACCAATATAAGTCTCTGTGTTTACTTGGTCGGGTCTGAATGGCTGTGGGACTGGCGGGTGAGAGAGATTTGTCCTGATTGTGGGTCAGGCAGGAAAACTCTAGCTACATGTACCTGGTGCACATGGAGGCCAGAAGAAGGCATTACATCCCCTAGAGCCTCCACATGAGTGCTGGGAACCAGACTCAAGTCCTCTAGAGTTCAGTCTCACTTACTTTCTTTTGAGTTAGTCTCAATCTAAAACTCATGGGTTTGAGTAATCTTCACACCTCTGCCTCCTCAACCAATTGAACTTGGCTCCTGCTGAATACTAGAAAATACCTGGTACACACTGCCAGCCTCTTCATTGGCTTCTGTGTGTCTGTGTGCAAATGCTTTATGACTAATTTTAAAAGAACATTATATTGTACAATTTACATATTACAAAATTCATTCGTTTTAAGTTTACATTCAGCGTTTTCCCCCCAGTGGTGGAATAGAAACCAGAGCTATTCAATGAGAGGGACACAGAGTTTCATGCAATCAGGCTGGCTTCAAATTTGCTGTTTAGTCAAGAATGATTTTGAACTTGTAATACTCCTGCCTCTGCCTTCCCAGTGTTGGGATTACAGATGTGTGTCACCTCACAGATGTCTGGTGCAGTCAATTTGAAGGTCGTCGATTTTCTAATGGCTCAGAAGTAAAGCACGCCTATCAGGCGCAAGGCCCTGGGTGTAATTCCCAACACTTTATATAATAAATCATTAAACAAACTTGACCTAGTGCCGCACAACAGCAAAGTGGAGGCAAGAGGATCAAGAGTTCAAGGTTATCCTCAGCTACACAGCCAATCCAAGGAGATACACAAGGTTCTGTCACAAAATAAATAAATATTTAAAAATAAATAAAACTTGGTTAACCATTAATTCAACAATGCTATCTGGAACACTTAAAATGGCCGGGGCTCTGCTTTAAATAAACAGCTCAACATGTGCCTCCTTTGCTACCCATTATAGGGGCCTGTTCTCCATTTGACTGGTGAATTCCTTTAAACACACACACACACACACACACACACACACACACACACTTACTTTCCATATTACAGCTCCTCACAAAGGGCCAGTAGTCCAGGCAGCCCCTAGACTCCTTGGTGGGTGAGGGGGTGGCAGTCGAGAAACACTAATCTGTGGACGTTTTGCGGAGTTTCCAACCCAGTCATCCATATCAGACAACAGGATCTCTTTTCCATCTTTGACATCTTTTCGCTAATCACCACACCGATTCCTAGCCTCTCCCCCTCTCCTTTCCATCCTCGCCTGACGCTGGCGCCCGAACCTTAAAAAAAAAAAACGCCACCGCCTAAACCAAACCACTTGACGTGCTGAGGGGAGTGTGTGGAGGTGTAAGTGTGTGGAAGTGACTGTGTGTGGAAGAAACCAATCGAGTCCCCCAAGGTGTCCATCTTGTGGAATGCCAATTAGGCCCGGCTGAGCGAACCTGAATCAGCTTCCCAGTACTTCCCCGCACACAGCAGACACGGCAGTGAGGCTTCGGGGCAGCCGGGCTCCACCGTGTCCCCTAGCCCTGCAGGTTCCCCGCTGCCAAGGACACAGCATCCCCCGGCCGCGCGCAGTGGTAGGAGCCGCGCGACGTCACCCATTGTTTACAAATCAACCCGAGCCGGCAGCGTTCCGGCTCCCGCGGCTGTACGGCGCGCGGTGCCACTGCCCGGTGGCCCCGGCTTCCGCGTCCCAGGCCCGGCTCAGCCCCGGTCTCCGCCCCGCTCCCGCCCCAGCCGCGGCCCGCCGAGCCCGCGGGCAACCGAGCCGCCAGCGACGCCCGCACAGCCGCGGGGGCCCGGGCGGGGGGCCATGCCGTGCCGGAGGGAGGAGGAGGAGGAAGCCGGCGACGAGGCGGAGGGGGAGGACGACGACGACAGCTTCCTCCTGCTGCAGCAGTCGGTGACTCTGGGCGGCTCGGCCGACGTGGACCGGCTCATCGCCCAGATCGGCGAGACGCTGCAGCTGGACTCGGCGCACGACGGCCCGGCCTCACCGTGTGCTGCCCCGGGTCCCCCGGCCCCGCCTCCGCCCCCGCGGGTCCTGGCGACGCTGCCGGCGGACAAGGCCGGGGCCCCGGCGAGGCAGCTGCTGTGGCCGGCCGCGCCTGCGGAGGCCGGGGACCCGGCGCCCCCGGGGGCCGTGCGCTGCGTGCTGGGAGAGCGTGGGCGCGTGCGGGGCCGGGCGGCTCCATACTGCGTGGCGGAACTCACCACCGGCTCTAGCACGCTGTGCCCTCTGCCCCCGCAGCCCGGCCTTGAGGGACCCCCGGGGACCTGCAAGCCAAGCAACCCGCAGCCTCTTTCGGGCCCGTGCCGGCGGGGTTGGCTCCGGAGCGCAGCCGCGTCCCGCCGCCTGCAACAGCGACGCGGATCTCAACCGGAGACCCGCACCGGGGACGACGACCCGCACCGGCTCCTGCAGCAGCTCGTGCTCTCGGGAAACCTCATCAAGGAGGCGGTGAGGAGGCTACATTCGCGACGACTACAGCTACACGCAAAGCTTCCCGCACACCCGTTCATCGGGCCTCTGTCGGCCCCGGTGCACGAGCCGCCTTCTCCCCGGAGCCCTCGAGCGGCCTGCAGCGACCCTGGTGCTTGCGGGAGGGCGCGGCTCAGAACTGGGGACGACCTTCTTGTCCCTGGCAGCTAACAACCAGGGTGGCCACAGCACCAGCCTGTGGCTGGGGACCAAGAGATTCACCCAGGATTGCACCGGACTGGTGGAGGACTCGAGCATTTGAAAACGGGATAATAAACTAAGAAATACTGCCGAAAAATCGCTATTATTTTCATGGGGTCACTGAAGTTGAGACCCCCAATCTGTTTGAAATCCAGGACTTAGGCTTGTTTAAAGCAGATTTTATAGAGTGCACCGCAGGCTGTCAGCAGGACTCCTTTTTTCCGCAGAATCTAACCTCGTCGCTGCAATTTCGCGCAGACTCTGCGGGGCAATCCGGCGACCACGTGGCTACGGTGCATGCTCTCAGGATCGGCCAGCCGTGGTGGAACGAGGAACGATGATCACAGTTACATGCTGTACTTTTCAGGGCTGCTTTCTGATCCACTTTGGGGGAGGGGGGAACAAGAGTGGATGCAATTTCGGGGAGCACCCCAAAATGCTACACTTGAACATTTTATGGCAGTTAAAAGACCGTCTCATATCTTTTGCGGTGCTGGTTTTAATGTAAAACATGCGGTATCACGAAAGGACCCTCATGGGGCTAAATAGAAGTAACATTTTTTTTCCCTGTCTGTCCCCGTTTTTGCAACTGGTTGCTGTTACCGAAGTGTTGAAGGAATGTTGTACCACAAGTGGGGGTGGGAGGCGGCAGTGAGCGGTGTTGGGCCATGGAAGGGTATGGCGAAGCACGGATTGAACTCTCCGGCCTTACTGAAGTGTTTTTAAAGGCGACCCGTTCCTCCTTCGGTCAAGGTCACTGTTTCCAGAGTGTGCACCATGTTGTGGGGCACCGGCACAGAGACTAGCTGAGTTGCCTTGCTGGGAGAAGAGTGCACTGTTTTGCAAGTGCTGGAGTCCCCTAAGGACATGCGCGCCACCTCCCGGAGGTGGGGGTGCGCTGGGTGTCTGTGCTTCCCGCCTGGGGCCACCGCCCTTGCCCTTCGCTTGGTCTGCACAGAAACTGCCTTGAAACAGTGGCCCCGAATACCACCTTTCCCCCTTGGCTCTGGGGCCCTACCCAAGCGGAGTGGCGCTGAGGATCCTAGGGGCCAGGGAGGGGGTCTAAGGAGGCTCCATACAGCCGGCACTCCTTGGACGCAGTTTCACACAGCCGCTTATAATGGGCTCTCGGGGCCATTTGTAATAACAGCTGCAATTCCCTGGATAGAGGGAGTTGATTTCCTCCTTCTGACCCTCCCCCAGCTGTACCAGCTCGCCTTTGTAAGTGAAGGAAACCGGGTAGAAAATGTGACCCTCCAAATGGAAAAGCTGCAGGCTTTCTGCTATTGTGACTGTGAAGTGCTTGGAAATACTGTTCACTCCGAGCGACCGTTTCGTTTTAGTTTTATGGAGTCAATGGCTTGTTCAGCCTCCAGATGTGGCTATTGACGAATCTACACTTCGCACCGAAGTGACTGGAATTGTGGCTGTCCTGATTATAGGATTTTAACTTAACTGAAATGACTGTTTTTGAATAAATGTGTTGGGTTTTTTGTTCGCTTTTATTTTGTACTTTCCTCCAGTGGGAAAGATGTACAGCACACATTTCTCTGATCTCCATAAACATGAAAACACTTGAAATCCCTGTCAGCCTGGCTTGCGGATGGTAATTAGAGGCCTTTGTGTCTGAGCAGCTCACTAGTTAGACGAGGTCTGTGCAGCTGGGTGTGTATCGGTGCTGGCATGAAATTAAATGAAAGTGAGGTCAGGTTTTGGATCAATCCCATTCACCAAACCTCAGAGCCTATGGGTGTCAGAGACAGCAAAGTCTTAGGAAGATGCCTGACAGTGGAGGATGGTAGAGCGGCTGTCTGAGATGCTTGCTCCCCCTCCCCCTCCCCTTGGGGTGCCATTAAGTGGGTTGTTGATCAGGATAGTAGGAACACTGATTGAGATCTTATTAAATCACACCTCTCCCTTTGCTCTTAGCACATTTACTATCATTCTGTCCCAGCATTGACACAACCACCCATTTCTATTCCTTTCTGAAATACTTCAGTCTGTTCCCTCAAGGAAGGAGCTGAGCTGAGTGACGGGGTGCCTAGTGTCTAAGTCCACTTATGAAGTGGGGAAGGGACCTTGGAAAAGTGTAATTCTGTGGCTTTTCCATTTCCTCGTCTGTGCAGCAGGGACAGTGAGACAGTTCGAGAGATGGCTGCCCAGCATGTACTAGAGAATGGCCGGTGGCCCTTGGCCCTTCCTTTCCAGAAATGGCTCTAAGTAGCCAAGTGACTAGGGTCCTCATATTTTCATTCAGCAAAGTCCTGCTCATTGGGAATGCTCGCTGTCGTGTCCTAGTCGTCAACTCTCTTTTGACTCAATCTTAAATGCGTGAGACACTTACAGTCTCTGAGGGGCACCTTCTGAACACCAGCAAGGGGAGGGTGATTATAGAGTCTCATAGACAAGAAGGGGCCTCCACAATGCCGTGCTGAGCATGGGGAGCATGGGTGGACAGTGGGCCAGGGCTCTGATGTGGGCATAGCCCTGAGCGTCTCAGCCAGAGTTCTTAGTTATGGATGGAATTCTCAGAGATCTAAGTCTGAGCAATCCAGAGCTTTCTCTCCAAACCCAAACTGGCCACAATTGAATGCTAATGCACAGAAGAGCTGGATTTTTTTTTTTTTAATTGGCTTTTTGTGACAGGATTTCTCTTTGTAGCCCAGGCTGTCCTGGAACTCGATTTGTAGACCAGGCTGGCCTCGAACTCTCAGAGATGTCTCTGCCTTTGGAGTGCTGGGATTAAAGGCGTGCACCATCACTGCCCAGCAAGAGCTGGATTCTTATAGTGAGAGTGCTGCCAAGCGTGGAAGTTCATGTTTATATCCCAGCACTTAGAAGGCTGAGACAGAAGGATTGCTACAAGTTCCAGGCCAGCCTGGGCTACAGAATGAGACCATGCCTATAAATAAATAAACAGCCAGAGCTCACCCTGGAAAAATGAAACAGAAACTAGGCTTGGCACATGCTAATACTCCCAGCACTTGGGAGAAGAATCAGGAGTTCAAGGCCATCCTTATCAGTTGCATATTGGAGCCAGCTTGGGCTACATAAGAACCTTTATTTCTAAAGGAGGAATGAATGAGGAAACTAATAGATAATATGCTAAAGTACTTAAAATGCAGTATAGTTCAATAAACCTTTTTATAAAAGTTCTGCCAAGGGCAGAGGACCTAACTCAATGGTAGAGCTCCTGTCTAGAATATAGCCGGTCTTGAATTCCACAAACACACACTTCTGCCAAGGTAAGCACAATGGCATGCACATAGTTCCAACTACTCAGGAGGCTGAAGTAGAACAGGTGAGTCAGCCCTGGCGTTTGTATCTTTAAGATTTATTTTATATTTTATTTTATTTCTTGCCTGAATGTATATATGTGTGCTGCATCCATACTGGTGCTCTCAGAGGTCAGAACAGGGGTTCAGATCCCCTGGAACTGAAGTTACAGATGTTTTTGAGCCACCATGTAGATGCTGGGAACCGAATTCAGGTCCTCTGCAAGAGCAACAATTGTTCTTAACCTCTGAGACACCTCTCCTGTCCCCAGCCCCGAAGTTTGAGACCAGCCTGGGCAATATGGAAGACTCAGCCCATTTTTTTCTCTCTCTACATTCTAAGGTTTCTCAGAAAGTACCTATAGTTAATAAAAGGTAAGTAAATAAAAATTACAAATCTTGTCAAGTTCTACTACTCACCCTTGAATCCTTTTTTAGAATAGAGTAAGTCAGGATTCATATACATGATTAATGTTATTAGAACTGTATGTGCTTAGCCAGGCAGTGGTGGTGCACACCTTTAATCCCAGCACTTGGGAGGCAGAGCCAGGGGGATCTCTGTGCATTCAAGGCCAGCCTGGTCTACAGAGTGAGTTCTAAGACAGGCTCCAAAGCTACACAGAGAAACCCTGTCTCGAAAAAACCAAAAAAAAAAAAAAAAAAAGGAAGAAGAAGAAGAAGAACTATATATGATTGCATGCATTGCCTAGCAGGTTGAACCCCAGAGTTTTGTGAAAATGAAGCAAGTACTCTACCCCTGAGATATACCCAACCACATTAGAGCCTTCTTTAGCTATAACAATAGCCCAGGAACATGCGCAGGACAGTGAGAGTCTCTAAAGTAACTGATTAAGTCTATCAGACTAGAAGCCAAATTTCTGGGCTCCCAGTTCAGGCCTCTGTCCTCCCAGGTGCTCCACACCACCACAAAGTGTCCAACTTTGTTTACTGGGCAAGCCTGCATGTAAATGGTACCTCTGTGGTTGTCCAAACTGGTAACTTTGACATCAGAAACCCTGAAAAATGCTGTCCCAACTACCTATATTGAGCTATGGGGTGCAACAACTTTGATTTTCTGAAATAGGGTCTCATGTAGCCCAAGCTGGCCTTCAACTTGCTTCATAACAGAGGATGACCTTGAACTCTTGATCAACCTACCTCAACCTTCCAAGTACTGGGATAACAGGAGTCATTGAGTCCTGCAGATTGAACCCAGGGCTTCAGCATGCTAGGCAAGCATTCTACCAACTGGTTATCTCCCTTGCCCACAGTATTCCTTTTCTTACAAAATATTCTGCAAACTATGAAGACAGCTCTCTACAGAAGACGACCAGGTGAGATAAAAAGCCAAAGCTACAGACTGAATAAAACAACAAAAAAACAAAATTAATCAATTAGTAAATAAGTGGTTTGGATAAAAGGCACACAGACCACCCCAAAGTCTGCCACCCTAAGATCATTCTAAACCAGACTTAAATGCTCTTTGAATTCAACTTTTATCTTTTTTTTTTTTTCAGTTATTTTTCCAGCTTAGAAGCAGGAACATGGAGTGAAGATCAGACAACACTTTCCTACCCAGCGAAGTCTGTGTTGAACCCTGTGATCCCTTCCTTCCAATCGGAAAGGAGTTGCCTTGGCAACCAAATTACTAACTCACTCAATTAGCGTTCTCCCCCTTTCCACCAATGCTCAGTAATCACAGAATGTCAGCTCCAGAGAGCTCAGGCTTTGCAGGCTGGGGGCTCCCGCCTCATCTAGATGGAGGTGCACTCCACACGATGCTGTGAAAGCTGGTACAGGCAGAGAAGAAAAACTCTCCTGGGCAGTGTTCCCATCCATATTTAAAGGGAGTGCAAATGACCCACCCTTAACTGTGTCTCCCAGACACAGAAAGCAAGAGCTGGGCTTAGCAAGCAGTCCTCTGAGGCTACCTGTGTGCTTTGGTCCACAAGCTCATTATGTCAATAATTCATCTGCAAATTGGGGTAAACACAGAGCCTAACTTGTGGAACTGTGGGAGATAAGGATCTTGGGCAGCCCAGGCTGACCCTCACTTCTCTACAGACAACACTCACCCTGAATTCCTAATCCTCTTGCCTCTATCTCCCAAATCCTGAGATTGTAAGCATCCACCACTACTTCCGACTCAGAAAGCTATTATATAAAAGCACAATTTTGAGTCTTTTGTAGAAAAGCCTGTGTCTTAATGACTTCTTCAAAATCCCTCTCCCTCTCTTGTCCTCTCTCTTCTTCCCTCTCTCCTCCCCTCTCTACCTCTTCCCCCTCTTCCTTGTGAGGCCTCATACATAGATTGTATTACAGAGCTATATACCACCGAGTCTGATCTCTCTTACAAGGCACAGAGAATCGAGGGCTGATAGGATGTCTCAGTGAGTAAAGGTGCTTACTGCCACACTTGACAACCTGAATTCAATCCCTTAGACCCATACGGTGAAAAGAGAAGCCCATAAGTTGTTATCTTGTGTGTGCTATGGCATGTGCATGCCCACACACATACACATGAAATTAATTTTTTAAAAAAAGACACAGGGAAGCCAATGAGGAGATTCACATCGGTAATCCCAGTACTTGGGAGGTGGAGGCAGGAGAATGACAAGGTCAAGGTCATCCTTAATTAATTATTTGTTATCTATTTGTTTATTTGTTTGGTTTTTTTGAGACGGGGGTTTGTCTGTATAACAACCCTGGCTGTCCTGGAACGTGCTTTGTAGACCAGGCTGGCTTTGAACTCACAGAGAGTTGCCTGCCTCTGTCTCCAGAGTGTTGGGATTAAAGGCGTGCACCACCACCATAGGATTCATCCTCATTTATGTGACAAGATCAAGGCCAGCTTGAGTTACATGAGACCCTGTCTCAAGACACAAACCAAAATGGCACAGAGACTGGATATATGGCTCAGGGGTAGCATGCACAAAACTGTCCCTTCTGAGGTCAGACCGCTGGATCTCAAACCCAGTTTCACAGTAAAGTGTTACCAGTAGCTGAGACCAAAGACATCATCTAAATGCTCACTAAGGAAAAGATAGAGATCATCTTCTAGCCCAGCCAGGGGAACAGCTTGAGGTTAGACCTTGTAGAGCTGGGACAGTAGAAACATCACAAGCGAAGGGTAGAGTGTACAGTGAAGCCAGCCCGGGGCCAGCTCTTACGACCACCTCCTTCCTATTAGAAAGCCCACCCTCTTCTAATTCATTTTC